TCGATATCGTATAATTGTCCTGCTTATTCAATCCTTTACACTTTTTCCCTAGTGCATGGAGAAAAAACTATTTTCAGTCCCTCAATCGTACTACTTGGGATATTTTTTAGCCGTCCAATTACCTATAACACGAGTTAGTAACCCACAAGATCTATGTATGATTTTATGCAAGTCGTGTCAACGCATACATTAAAGGCGACAACATTTTTAAAATGGAGTTAAACCGACTCCTCAACTTAGCTAACTAATTAGGCCATTCTCTCATATACACAAGGCCAAATACATAAGCAAATCCTTAAACTTGTTTTATTTTTTATTTTTTTATCTAAACACTTGAACTAAGCTTTGTTCCTATTGAACCCCTAAACTCAAGTCTAAATGTTCCTATCAGACACGTTTGACACAAATCTCCGAAACAACTTAGGAGCGTGCTGTCAAACTCCTCCCCCTCCCCATTTTCTCTCCTTCTTACCCCCCCTCCCCTATTCTTCTTGTATATAGGCCCCCAAATACTAATATGGAATAGAAAACATGGCCAAGCTTCTATAAGCCCAAAACCCCGTTTTGTTTTCAGAGAAGTAGAAAAAAAGTAGATTTTCTTCAAAAGTACTTTTTGAGGAAAAACACACTTAGAAGCTCTTTTTAAACGCTTAATCAAACACTAATTGTTACTCAGAAGTATTTTCCAAATTAATTAGCCAAATACAAACTACTTCTCACTAAAGCCATTTTTGAGAAAAAGTGCTTATCAAAATAACCTATTTTAGAAACTTCGCCAAACAGTTTAGAAGTGCTAGAGAAGACTCAATGCTTAACATTGAACAAATGTGATTCCATAACTTTTTAAAAAGGAAAGAAAATGATACGAAAGAGAAGAATTTTTGGACCCACTTCGACTATGATAGAATTCATTGGGCTTAGAGCGGACTTGGATTTCAAGTGCCCCAATGAAGATGTGCTTAAATGTGACTAGAATGCATTTTGGAAAGAAAAGGAAGTACACATGAGTAGTGTTTGCATTAAGCAAAAGTTTGCAAGATATTTTTCTTGCATATAGTAATTTTGTCACCAACCATTGAACACATCACACAAATATAAGTATAGAGTATTTTACCTTTTAACACAAAGAAGAAGAAGCGACAGCAGCAAGCCAGCAACATAGGTCTAAAATATGCCAACACTAGCTAAACTTTAAATAGTTAATAAAAATGGATATATTTTAAATAGTGCTACCATTAGCGGCTACCTGGCGCCTTTCCAACTGATTTCACTAGTAAGGGAGATTTTTAAAAATAGCCAGATTTACAACTGGTCGTTGAAAAATAGCCCAATTTCAAAAGTAATCGAAATTTAGCCACTTTTTATGTAAAGATAAATTTGAGTGAAAACACTGTTCAAAACCCGGAAAATACTCCAGTATATTATGCTGGAGTTCCAGCATAAGTATGCTTAAACTCCAGCATATTATACTGGAGTTCCAGGATAAGTATGCTGGAACTCCAGCATAATATGATGGAGTTCCAGCATAAGTACACTAGAACTCCAGCATAATATACTGGAGTTCCAGCAAGTATAATTATCCAGTATAATTACTGGAGTTTGGAGCACCGGTGCTCCAGTCTCCAGTATATTATACTGGAGCCAGCAAAGTATACCGGTCCAGCATAATATGCTGGAGTTCATACACAGGTGCACCGAACTCCAGTATATTATGCTGGACCAGTCTCTGTTGCAGCAAAACGGTGGCTATTTTTCATTGACTTCGTAAACGCTGGCTATTTTTGATTGACCAGTCCGAAAACTGACTATACCGTGAAATTTTGCCCACTAGTAATGGGCCTAACGTTCACACAAATAGACTGAAGAGCAATGGTACTTTTGCTCTTATGCTCAGGATGTAGGCTTCCGAAGTGACCGAATAAGNTACCGATGCAGTATGTTTCCCCAATCACCCGTATACTCTGTTCCCCCTCGTGTTTTTGGGAGCACTTGTTTCGTTCATAACCTAGCCCCTGGGAAAGATAAGTTAGCTCCTCGTGCTCTCAAGTGTGTCTTCCTTGGTTATTCTCGTGTTTAGAAGGGATATCGTTGTTACTCACTTGATCTTCGTCGGTACTTTATGTCCTCTGACGTCACATTTTGTGAGTCTAAACCTTTCTTTACCTCTTCTGACCTTTCTGACCCCCTTGATATATCTGAGGTCTTACCTATACCGACCTTTAAGGAGTCTACTATAGCTCCTCCTTCACCTACCGCCACAGAAGTCTTACCCGAGTCTCCTATAGCTCCTCCTTCACCTTCCGCTATAGAAGTCTTATCCATTCCAACCGTTGAGGAGTCTAGTGTGGCTCCTCCTAGACTCCCTGCCACAGGAACACCACTTTTGACATATCATCGTCGTCCGCGCCCAGCATCAGGTCCAGCTGATTCATGTCCTGCACCCGACCCTGCTAATACTGCGGACTTGTCTCCTCTTAATCAACCGATTGCACTTCGGAAAGGTATACGGCCACCCTTAATCCTAATCCCCATTATGTCGGTTTGAGTTATCATCGTTTGTCATCACCCTATTATGCTTTTCTATCTTCTTTGTCCTCTGTTTCCATCCCTAAGTCTACAGGTGAAGCATTGTCTCATCCAGGATGGCGACAGGCTATGATTGACGAGATGTCTGCTTTACATACGAGTGGTACTTGGGAGCTCGTCCCTCTTCCTTCAGGTCAATCTACTGTTGGTTGTCGTTGGGTGTATGCAGTCAAGGTTGGTCCGGATGGTAAGGTTGATCGTCTTAAGGCTCGTCTTGTTGCCAAAGGATATACTCAGATATTTTGGCTCGATTACAGTGATACCTTCTCTCCTGTGGCTAAGATAGCATCAGTCCGCCTTTTTCTATCCATGGCTGCTGTTCGCCATTGGCCCCTCTATCAGCTGGACATTAAGAATGCTTTTTTACACGGTGACCTTGAGGATGAAGTTTATATGGAGCAACCACCTGGGTTTGTTGCTCAGGGGGAGTCTCGTGGCCTTGTATGTCGCTTGCGTCGGTCACTTTATGGTCTAAAGCAGTCTCCTCGAGCCTGGTTTGGTAAGTTCAGCACAGTTATTCGAGAATTTGGCATGATTCAGAGTGAAGCTGATCACTCTGTATTCTATCGGCATTCTGCCTCGAGTCTCTGTATTTATCTGGTGGTCTATGTTGACGACATTGTTATTACCGGCAATGACCAGGATAGTATTACTAAATTGAAGCAACATTTCTTGCAACACTTTCAGACTAAGGATCTGGGCAAACTAAAGTATTTTCTGGGTATTGAGGTCGCTCAGTCTAGCTCAGGTATTGTGATGTCACAACGAAAGTATGCCTTAGATATTCTTGAAGAGACAGGAATGATAGGTTGTAGACCGGTTGACACTCCGATGGATCCGAATTCTAAACTTATGCCAGGACAGGGGGAGCCTCTTAGCGATCCTGCAAGATATAGACGGTTGGTTGGTAAATTAAATTACCTTACAGTGACAAGACCTGACATTTCCTTTTCTGTGCGTGTTGTGAGTCAGTTTATGGATTCTCCGTGTGATAGTCATTGGGATGCAGTTGTTCGCATTCTTCGGTATATAAAATCAGCTCCAGGCAAAGGTTTATTGTTTGAGGGTCGAGGCCATGAGCAGATCGTTGGATACTCAGATGCTGATTGGGCAGGATCACCTTCTGATAGACGTTCTACGTCTGGATATTGTGTCTTGGTAGGAGGAAATTTGGTGTCCTGGAAGAGCAAGAAACAGAATGTGGTTGCTCGGTCTAGTGCAGAAGCAGAATATCGAGCGATGGCTATGGCGACATGTGAGCTAATTTGGATCAAACAGTTGCTCAAGGAGTTGAAATTTGGTGAGATTAGTCAGATGGAACTTGTGTGTGATAATCAAGCTGCTCTTCATATTGCGTCAAATCCAGTGTTCCATGAGAGAACTAAACACATTGAGATTGACTGTCACTTTGTTAGAGAAAAGATACTCTCGGGAGATATTGCTACAAAGTTTGTGAAGTCGAATGATCAGCTTGCAGATATTTTCACCAAGTCCCTCACTGGTCCTCGTATTAACTACATATGTAACAAGCTCGGTACATATGATTTATATGCACCAGCTTGAGGGGGAGTGTTAGAATAGTCATGTAAATAGGAGTAAATAAATAACCCTAATCCAATATATATTAGGAGTAGGACATGTTATGTGTGTGTATATATATAGGGCTCATTGTAACATATGAATACATCAATAATATATTTTCTCCCGTGCATTCTCACAATTATCATTTGTTTTAACATTTCCACTTATTGGCTCTTTGAACCAGCTGCTGAGCAGTAAAGGACTTGGCTTATCTGGATGCTGGTTTGCGCTTGTTGTATTCCAATGGGTAAAACTCTACCACATCTTACAAGCTTTATACATTCTTTTACTTTGTTATATTGTCTGATGCCATAACGCGCTGTCTTTTTTCCCCCTCCTCAGTCTCGATTTTTTATTGCTCTACGACGCCTTACCTTGTCGGATGGCATACTCTATTCAGAAGAATCAACTCAGTATGAGCTACAGAAGTTGAAAGCTGTATAGGTTTCTGATTTTCTTACAACACAAAATTTGTTACTACAACAGAAAAAGTGGAGATGGGATCCAAGTCTTCCCATAGGTAATGTATCTACCATTTGTTTCAAGCAAACCAGTATTTTGCCATCCATTAAGTGGCAATATCAGCAAAGTTCATTCCCTTTTGTTTTTTGTAACCCGAAAAATGAACTGAATCCAGCAGATATTTGAAAGAAGTCAATAATAAAGCCTAAAGGATAAAGTTTCCATTGTAAAATAAAATTCACAGAGCATAGATCAGCCACTTTATAGCACAATTTTGGAAAGAAATGACAGCATAAAAGATCAATGAATCATCCTATTAATTGACAAGAAAACTACCATACGCATCAGGAGATGCAAAGAGGCTATCTCACCCGGTGTCTGGTACCGCATTGAAGCTCGACTATATCCGGATTCGCGTCGAGTAAGGCCCATTTAAGGGAGAAGCGCTCCCTAACAAGATTCTTTCCATAACCAGGGCTCGAACCTGTTAAAGGCGAAGGGATCCTATTCATCCTGCCACAACCCATGTTGGTCATCTCTCCTTAAACTTCTCACTTAATTAACGCAACATTAACCGGAACAATAAGGGTAGATATGAAAAAAATTACTAAATAACTTCTTGTTTATCTAAAACGTCAAATATTTTCAAACAAATTCAGTTTGTTGAAATAACTATATCCGAAAAGATTATTGAAGTTTACATTTCCCCTACCTCGACTTGCGCATAATATACTTTGCCGCTCAACTACTCAAGAACAATGTATCCATCATTGACCCTGTCACAACCAATAGGAGAAAATAACTGGTTCATATATTTAGCTATTTTGAGGTAGAGCTAAATGCTACTAATAAAATTCCATTTTAACCACTCTAAAGTTGTTCGTGAGCAATGATATCAAACTCCAAATAAAAAAATTCATGCATGTGATGTTAGCAAGCTTTACCAAAATTTACCAAACAGGTAGGGTAACTGAAAGGAAATTAAACATACAAAAACGTTTTTTTTTTCTTTTTTTTTTCTTTTAACATGCCAGAAACTATTTAAGCCGAAAAAGTGTATAAATCTTACTTTACTAATGCACTTTAAAAAGCCTAATATGTGATTTACCACTTACTTATTTTTATAACCGTGGTGTTCGGACCAGCCTGCACTTCCCTCAACGAATTCCTGCTAGTCTGCTATCAATATAAGTACCGAATAACTATGTCCATCAAAATTTAAATATATAAAAAGAAATCACCTAGTATTATTTTTGCTCCACTAAAATTTCAACCTTTTTATGGTTTTTAATCCACTGCTTTGACCTTATCTTGTGGGTGTTTTTGTGTCACACATGGCTCCCGCAGGCCAGAGACTGATCAAATATAATATTGGGGAAAAATACAAAATTAGTCGCTAGACCAAAACTAATTACATTCGCTAGCCAAAAAGTGCATAAATAAGTATATTTTTTTATATGTAATACACATATAAATAAAAATTATAGCGACTACTAATATACATTTCTCAATAATATGGCCCCACGATTAAAATTGCAACAACATACATTATCAATGAATATTTCCAAACATATGACCATTTGGCAAGACATATAAGATTAAGATGGGAAATGAACAGTATGGTACTATTGACATATAACCACTGCAATGATGGCTTTTGCAAGAATCATATGAAAATAGAAATTGGCAAAGTATATATATGAGATTTGATGAGTCATGAATTTAAGGTTGCATGTGAACCTCACTTGAAAGAAAGAACTACAGTGTTAACTACCAGCTCACTATACATGTATTATAACCTTCCAAATCATATATTTGTTTTAATTTGAAGGACCACATGTTAGTAGAAGAAAAAGTGAACCATGCATGTGCTATCATACTCTTGAGACAGTCAATGATAGAAGCTCACCATATAAAAAGACCTTAATTTGTTGATGTTTTGTCGGTCTAAACTTTGATGCACAGAGTTAATTATTACTATTTATTTTAGTGAGAGGTCGTAAAAATGAGTCGAGGGTCTTTCGGAAATAGCCTCTCTATTCCTCCGGAGTAGGGGTACCAATTATGATATTTTACTGGATTGTTGTTATTGTCGTAAAAGTAATAAAATAATGGAGGTAGGGGGTGAAATTAGAAGGTTATGTGTGGGGTCGGCCGAATTAGTAGATTTAATAGTCTAAACTATGTATTAATACTAAGAAATTCACTAAATATTTACAAAAATTAAATTCAAAATTTAATTACTAAGACCTAATATTGCTATCCTAAAATTTAGAATACATAAAACTCAAATTTTGGCTCCATGATCGAATTGCACGCAAACTAATGCAAATACTACTAATATAAAAAATAAAAAATAAAAAGACACAGAGAGAGTAGTTCAACAAATCAATTCCTGGCTTCTACTTCACATAGACAAGGGCGGATGTAGCTTTTCGGCAATGATCAACTGAATCTATAATTTTTTATACGGAGTATGAATATATATATATATATATACTAAATCTCAATAAGCCTTAGATTTAAACTCATAATTAAATTTTAAATTTTGAATCACCCTGTCTCTGCACATAGAACATAAGTCTTGGAGAGATTCCCTTTTTTTTCTTATACCTACTCGATCCCTTAAATTTGTAGGTGTGGTGTGACTTGTGAGTTTGATTTAATCAAAAAGATAAACTATAGCTATTCTTTTTTTTTTCCCGTCATTCTATGGGCATAATTTCTTGATATTAGTATATTTTAATGCATCCTTTTTAGGCTCTATAATTAGTTGACACTTTCACGTCTTGAATGCCTTGTCGAGTGTTTAACTCAAACTTACGCTTCCTTTTTTTCCCAATTCTTAATTCTTTCATTTTCTTGTTTTGTTTAATGGCCGATAGGTTACATTGTCACTCTTTGTGGTAGGAAGACAAGGACGTTTCTTCCATTTTCCTTCTAACAGAGTATTATGATAGTCCGATGCACAAAGCATCCCATATATATTTATGCAAGGTCGAGGATCTTGGTGCGATGTAGACAATTTATCTTAATAAAAGCAGTAATGATTGCTTCTATATTTCGAATTCGCGTCGTGATCCATAGGTCACGTAGAAACAACTTTACCGGTCCATTTTTCTTTTATTATGAACTAATTTTTTTGTTTCATAATTAGAGGGCAGTAGGAAATTTTCGTAGGCGAGTTTTATGCCAGTTGCATTCCTATTGTTACAATTCGGCTTGTAGGTAAATTTAAATTTAAAAGTACATAATTTTGAGGTTTTACTTCACGTCTCAAATTAATATATATTTATTTAATGTATATTCTTAAACGACATGAACCTATAATATATGTATATATTATTTTCTATACAAATATTATTACACACGTGTATATTAGGAAAATCTTTTGCGAAGCGATTTCAGATGACATTATGTCCTAAAGGATATTTTTCGCCGCTATTTCCAAGTGAGCACGATTTGAACTTTGTGTATATCATAGGCAGGGGCGGATCTACCTTGAAAGGTGGGGGTGGTACAGCACCCGCACGCTTCGGCTAAAATTTTTAATATGTATTTATATATCTGGTAAAACTCGTATATATTTAGTAAGTGTCGCCCACAATACAAAAATTGGATGCGGGTGCCACTGGTTTAGGGAAGGCTTTGAAGTCTTTAGATTACTAAATAAATAACCCGAGCTCAAATCTCAATTGACGCATTAATGCTCTGTGTGCAGCTGCTGCTTTTTCATTTTCGTTGTTCCGGTTCTTTTTTATTCTTTTTCCTTTTTTATGCTCTAGGCCTCACCTCTATTTTTCTTCCTTTTATTTGATATATCTCCCTCTTTCTTGTTCTTCTTCTTTTTTCTGCTTCTTCATTTCTTTAAAAAAAATTATTGCATTAATCTTCCTTTTTTTCCCTACAAGTATACTTAGTTGAAAATTTCTTTCGATAGGTCATTTGAATTGATTTTGGTTAATATATAGCATCTCTTTTTTAGATGATGCAACATTAATCTATATATATTGGAGTATAATTGAGCAATATCACCCTCTTCTATTGATTTTTTTTTTAAAGGCTCGAATTGTAGACATTTTTGAGTAGATTCTCATGGATTGAAAATTTGAAGCTTTTGCTTTGCATAGAATTGCTATACAAACTTGGGAATTAAAATGATAAAATGAACTCGAGAATAAGGAAGGTAAATTATTCTAGTTACACAAATTATTTGTAGAAGTTAAGCTATTTTTAAGCAAATTTTATAATTGGAGGTGCTATTTCATTAAAAATAAAATTGCAATTATCTTTCATAATATAATTTACATTAAAGCTTGAAAAAAAAAAGTAACTAGACAAAATAAAACTTATTTGTTTATGTATGTGAATAAAAGGCTTAATCAATCTAACTAGAATAACAAAATTCTTATTGAAGCGGTGCGACTTTTTATTCGGTGTTTGTGGCTAGAGGTAGATATACGATTTGCATAATGAGTGTCACCCGCAACCTCTAAATCCTGGATCCGCCTCTGATCATAGGTAGATTCAATAATTTAGAAAAGGTTAAGTACATAGTACAATTGCATTCATTAGTATATGTTGTGAGCAGGGGCGGAGCTAAGGTACAGCTAGCTATGAATTCGACCGAATTCAATAACTTTGGTTCAAACTCTGTATTTATCTTTAAAAATTTAAGAAATATGTGCATTATCTTAGGTAGCAGCATTGCACCGCATGATGATTATGTCATCATTATCCACTAATTAGCCCTTAATAATTGGTGCAAGTTAACCACATGCTTTCGTTTAGACTTTAAATTAAGCGCTTTAGAAAGCTAATGAGGTGGGTTATACACGACGTGCTCAAACTTAGGAAATAAAGGGAGTTAGGTTAGACTAAAACATATAAAGTCACAGGGATTCCTATTTTTCTCTTCCTGCGTAATATGTTTGGAATATATAAAGGTAAAAGGGTTAAAATAGGTCGCCTAGCGTTGTCCTTGTCTGTAATAGTAGCTTTAGTATATGAGTTAGTGTTATTTATGCATTTTCGTATTCCTTGATTTATATGATTACTTGTCGTTGCTTTCGTTTCGGCCTTCTAGTTACAATACTCAGGTTTAGTTTTGTATCTTTGTATTTTTGCTTCGGTTTGATAATTGGTGAGATTGCTGCTACCCTTCCTTTTATCTTTCTTAAGCCGAGGGTCTTTCGGAAACAGCATCTTTGCCTTCTTGAAAGTAGGGGTAAGGTTTGCATATATACTACCTGTTTGACCAAAAAAATATTGACTTTGGCTCAACCAATTAGATTTATATGAAGAAGGGTTAATCTTAGTTAAAAATAATATCCTAAAGATAACTAGTATATTTATCCGGATGGCAGTGTGTATAAGCAATAACAATCTTCAATGATCCAAATCGGTGAAGCATGGCATTCAATAGTAATAAATAGCAATAAATGACATTTAAGTAAATAAAACGTGTGAATCACCCGAAAAAGGATGAGATCAATGGATATTTTTTCTGACAATGATGAATGATTGATAGCCTTTGAACATTTGGATTGTTCTTGGATCCAGTGAAAATACTAGACAAGAATCTTAGTAAAAATGTTATTTTTGTACATATGCGATAAGACCAGATTCTCTCTTACAAAGTCAATGTGTTCTTCACAAATGAATATCTAATGTCCCCTATCATTGTATCTATTTTTATATATAAGGAACATGTTCCTAGAAACCCTAATAGTACAAGTGCATAGAGTATCCACTTGAATATTCTCTTTAATGTCCTATCTTGAAACTAGTCGTTATAACTCTGTCAAGGATATTCGACCTCGACCTTGATATCTAATGAGTCATCGACCTTAATTCTTGCTGACTCTTCGCCCGCAACCTTCATTGTTCCCTGAACCACTTCGACACATGGCGGCCTGTGCCTCACTGATGCTACCATGACTTAAGCATTTTAGAGATAAATTTTGATCCATACAGTTAGTCCCTTTGCTTATTGAGGTCGACTTCGCAGACGAGTTCGATGAACGGATTATGTTGGTGGTGGTCAAGCTTTATCAAGCGGACTATACGGGTCGTGGTTGTTGTGGCGAAGGAGCGACGTGGCCCTCCGTGAGCCGCACCTTTCTAATACTTCGAGTTTCCTAGGTGATTTGCTGGAGTTTCCCTGTCCAGGGTTAGGATGACATCATGATATCATGCATCATTATAACACATATTCCCGATGCGTAGCGTCGTTTCATGTGTGACCTTTGATCAGACATGACACTTCGATTCTGGTTTCCAATCACGATGAACCATTTTTGGTGCCACGACTTCTATAAATAGGGACCTTTGGACCTGGTTTTGAAGTTTCAATCCTCTAATGCTTCGAAGCACCAAACTTCTCTCCTGCTTTCTTCTTCTTCGAATCTCCTTTCTCTGTTGCATTGACCTATATCATTTTTCATTCTCTCCCGTTTGTTACTTTTCTCCACTACCTTGAATCATGTCAAACGTACCTTCTGATGCCGGCGAAGGGAGGCATGTTGCTCCCTTGGCAGTAGTGTCTCCCCCCATAGGGAGAGCATTTCTGCCATTGTTGAGGATGAAACTTTCCCGTCGGTGGAGGAAATAATCCCCCGTAATGTTGACGATGACGGCTAAGGAATTGTGGAGCTCAAGGCCAAATTCGACCTTCCAGACCATGTTGAGCTGATCCCCGCCAAAGGGGACACGGTGCAGGTTCATCGCCATAGGTACTGCGCTCTTTATGCCTACCCCTTCCTCATCGGCTATTCTTTCCCCCTCATTCCGTTGGTGGAAGAATTTTGTCATCACTAAGGTGTCTGCCTTGCCTAGATTGCATTGTACGTCTACAAGGTTATCAAGATGCTGACTAGGTTCGCCGAGCTGGCCGGGGTCGAGCTGACGCTGCGACACTTAGTACATCTATTCGCCCCTGGCTTCTATAGGGGAATGATGTTGAACCTTCACCACCGAGGAGGCAAATATTTGGTGGTGAAGATGGACGACAAAGCCAATCGCCAGTTCTGGCTTAACTTCTTCTTCGTCAGAACCGAGGACATTGTGGCCAATGTCAACGGCTTTCCTAAAGCTTGGAACTACACTCGTGAGTGCCTTGTTTCTTTCTGCGTTTGTTTGGTTTTAAGTTCTGATTTTTCACTTTCCTCTTTTGCAGCCAATTGCCAGCCTCCTCCTTTGGTCGCTCACATCTCTGACTAGGTCGAGCGACTCCTCCTACAAGTCGTATGAATCCGCGATTGGCCGAGTTCTGAGTTCTAATTTCTTTTCTTTGATCGTGGCCATCTCACCTCCCATTGTGTGTGCATTAGTTTTGCTAACTTGATGTTCTGCCTTTTTCTCAGGTAGGGGATAATTCTCGGAGGATCCAGGCATCGGTGCTCTCTCTTCGAAGGATGGTTGTTGCGCCTTCAGCTTCTATCTCTATTGCGACTACTACGTCTTCCGTACCGGTCTCAACCTCAGCTGGCGCAGTCCGAGAACCCGTCTTTGCTCCATCTACTGCTTCTACTCCTCAACTCCTTTCACTGGTTGATGAGGACGATGTCTCTCCTGATGACCTGGTCTAATGTCTCGTAAGAGAAGAGTTGTGGATATGGGGGGAGAGAGGTCGGTAGCCATCGGTTTGGGGGATTTGACTTCGTTCTTTGAGTGACAGCCATAGTGCACATTGGAGTGAGTCCCAAGGTAGGTCCTGAGGCCCCGCACTTGGAGGAGGCGAGCATGCGTCCTACGGGGGACACGATCGAGGGCAAGGTGCATGAAGACGGCGTTGCACTTTCGAGGCAAGAAGAGGCCTCGTCTTCTAGGGTCGTGGTGGACATCCCTTTTATGGCTGATGACAGAGGGAAGGTTGTCGCTGAAGAGGATGTCGGATCTGACTCCGACATGGATATGGACGAGTTGAGGATGATCGACGAGGGACTCACTCAATTCGAAGTGAGGTTGGAAGGGGGCTCCAGGACTATTACGATCCCAATGGATCATAATATTCTTGTAAATACTGAGGAAATATTTCCTTCCCTCAGTCCTCTTTGCTCTGAAATTGAGGGTACGACCCTCGAGACTATAACGACACCCTGTCGAATAACATTGCTGGCCTTGCTCTTCAAGTAAGTACAACTGTTGTCCATTCTTTTCCTTGTGTTTTGCTTTCTTTCGTAAGTTCTAGTTTCTTTTTTTTCATTTTGCAGGCGGTTATTCTGGAGATCGAGAGTGCTCGTCCAGAGAAGAAACGTAAATATATTTACGTGAAGTTGAAGAACAAGTACTTTAAATGTCTTGAAAAGTATCGGGAGCTCCAGTGTTGGCTCCGTGAAAGTGACGATGTGCCTCAACTGAGAGAAGACTTAAAAGTGAGGAACGAGGAGCTGATGCGGGTTGTGGAAATGCAGCGTCCTGGAAGGGACGTTGAGGAGCAAAGAGGAGGAGCTTGAGCTTAGCAGAGGAATTGAAGACCAATGTAGTGATCTCCAAGCCCAAGTGGTCCTACTGCGAAGCCAACTCAAAAAGTGTCAATTCAGGGCGGAGGCTCTTAGTGGCGAGGTCGTTGAGAAGCACGATGAGCTAGAGAAGGCGGAGCCTGCTCGGTTGGAAACTCATAGGAGGGCGGAGTCCCTTGAAGTGGCGAACCAAACTCTTTGTTCTGAACGAGAAAATGACTTGTTGACGGCGAGGCTTAAAGAAGAGCGGCTTGATGAAAGAATTGGGGAGTTGGAGAAAGAGACCTCTGATCTCTATGATCATGTTGCTGCTCTGGAGGCCGAGAAGGCCGAACTACTTGCACGGCCATCTTCATCTACTACTTCTGGCTTCCCCAACGTTCCTTGTGAGTTGTATGAAGAGTGGATTAACGTAGAGGCCCGATTGGATGTGCTTCATGAGTTGTACGTGGTGGGTTCTATTCCTGCCGAGGACTTTGAGGATGCTCGGGTCAAGGCTCGCGAAGCTCGAATTGCTTATGGCTATGACCCGATTACGACTCGTCCCCTTGAGAAAGATGAGGACGGTGAGGATGCTATAGACCACCTTGAGGACGAGGCCTGGTATCATTCCATATACCCGTCGGGCGAGGATGAAAAGGGCGTTAAAGGTCAGGCCGATGAGGGTGTCGTGGGTCGTGATGATAGTGGCCAGTAGTAGTTTTTTTGCTTTTCTATCATTTTGTGTATTTTTGCTGGTGTCTTCAAAAGCCTTTGTAAGAGACCTTTGTTTATAAATATCAGAGTTGGTTTTTGCTTTCATTTGCACCTTTCTTATTTGTTATGGTTTGTTTCTGTACTTTGTGGAGCAAATCAACACAAGGCAACCTGAATATGCAAAAATTGTACATACTTGGCCAACTTGCTGAACTAGAGGAGATTCAAGAATTGAGGATTCTGAATGATGAAGAGAAACATAAAAGAAAACTACTCTATTGATAGAGTTTGAGGAAAATGCTAGGAAGGAGGAGATAACATGGAGGCAAAGGTCCAGAGCTGTATGGCTGAAAGAAGGAGACAGGAATACCAAGTTCTTCCACAGAACTGCCAATGCCCACAAAAGGTACAACAACATTGATAAGTTACAAGTGAATGGGGAAACTATGGAGAACCCTGAAGATATCAAGAGGGAGATAGTTACTTTTTACCAAAAACTGTACATAGAGGCTGAGGAGTGGTGACCACAATGCAACCTAAAGACTGTCCAACCATTAGTCCAGAAGATAATCAGATGCTACTGAGTTCCTTTGAACCGCAGGAAATATGGGAGAGTGTCAAAGCATGTGCATGGGACAAAGTTCCGGGTCCAGATGGCTATATTATGGCTTTCTACACTCAATGCTGGGAAGTGATAGGCCCAGATGTGATTGCTGCAGTCCAAAATTTTCAAGTAAATGGGATATTCGAAAAGAGTTTCAATGCTACCTTGATGGCCTTGATTCCAAAGAAAGTGAGAGCCAAGGAATTGAAAGACTTTAGATCCTGACAGAAAGAACAAAAAAGTTATGGGCAAACTGGTGGACACTCAACAGATGTCTTTTATCAAAGGCAGGCAAATTATGGATGCTATCCTCATTGCTAATGAGTGTGTAGATGCTAGAATGAAGAGCAAAGACCCTGGTATTATGTGTAAGCTGGACATAGAGAAGGCATATGACCATCTGAATTGGGAGTTTTTGCCGGGAGTATTACTGAAAATGGGCTTTGATGATAGGTGGATTAGTTGGATCAAGTTCTGCATCAGCACTGTTAAATTTTCAATTCTGATAAACGGTTCACCTGTTGGTTTCTTCTCTTCTCAAAGAGGTTTGAGGCAGGGGGACCGTATCTCTCCCTTCCTATTTATTCTAGCAATGAAAGGTTTAAATAGCTTGTTTAAATCTGCTAAAGCTAACAATAGGACCAAGGGTTTCAGGGTGAAATCAACTGGAAATTAATCATCTGCAATATGCAGATGATACCTTGGTGTTTTGTGATGCTGATAAAGATCAGTTGCTTCTATTGTGAGTGGTATTCATTTTTTTTGAAGCTATATCTGGATTACACATTAACTGGAATAGGAGTTTCATTTATCCAATTAATGAAGTAATGAAGATACATAGCTTGGTGAGTACTCTGGGAGGAAGAGTAGGAGTTCTGCCAACAGTTTATCTGGGAATGCCACTTGGAGCAAAAAGCAAATCTAAAGGGATATGGAATGGTGTAGTTGATAAATGTGAAAAGAAGCTAGTCAGCTGGAAGAGCCAATATCTATACCTGGGAGGAAGAGTTACCCTAATTAACAGTGTACTGGATGCTATGCCAACTTATATGATGTCTTTATTTCCTATGCATGTAAGTGTAGCTAAAAGACTTGATACTTTGAGAAGGAACTTCTTATGGCAAGGCACCAGTGAAAAAAGCAAGATTCACCAGATGGGATATCCTTACAACAAGCAAGAAGGAAGGGGGTAAGGGGATCAGGAACCTAAAAATTCAGAACCAAGGTCTGATGATGAAGTGGCTACGGAGGTTTGCCACAGCAGAGCAATCTTTGTGGAAGAATGTAATTGAGGTAAGGTATGGGATGCAAGGAAGCTGGACAACCAAATCTGTAAACAGTCCTTGTAGGGTAAACCTGTGGAGATCCATCAGAAATCTATGGCCGAAGTTCAGAAAAAGTCTAGCCTCAAAGTGGGTAATGGTATGAAAACCTCTTTTTGGGAAGACAAATGGCTTGGACAAAGAATATTGAAGCAACTTTTTCCAGATATCTACAACCTGAACCAACAACAAGGGTCATCTGTTGGAGAGCTGTAGACAGGTCAAGGATGGAATCTCACTTATAGAAGACTCCTTAATGATTGGGAAATACAGAGGCTGACAGATTTTTACAATACCTTAGAACAGTTTAAAGGGAGGATATGGTGTTTTGGCAAGGGGGAAAGAAGGCAAGTACTCTGTTAGATCAGCTTACAAGGAGTACAACCAATTTAACAATCAGATTGGATGTTGGCCTTGGAAGATGATTTGGAAAGTAAGAATCCCATACAAAGTTGCATGTTTTACTTGGCTTTTACCAAGAGAAGCAGTCCTGACTCAAGATAATCTCATCAAGAGAGGATACCAGTTGGGGTCCAGATGTCATCTATGTGATGCTCATGAGGAGACAGTCAACCATCTCTTTTTACATTGCAGTGTCACTGATCAATTATTTGTTGTGGTTTGTTTTTGTACTTTGTGTGTTTTGCTCCTTCATAATTTTGTTGTTGTCATTGTATATATCAAATTTTATTGAAACATGGCCGGGGGTCGATAGGTGTTATTCGAACTTGGACGAATTCTTGCTTCTTTAAACCGCGGCCGAGATCCGATAGGTGTTGTTCAAAATTAGTAGAACTTATCCTTTTAATTCGGCGGATGGACGGTAGGTATTGTTCTAACTTGGTAAGAATTTTTACCTTTTTTTTATCGTGGCCGAGGGCCGTTAGGTGTTGTTCGAGCAAGGTCGAAAATTACCTTCTGTTAATCATGATTGAGAGCTGATAGGTGTTGTTCGAACAGGGTCGAACATAACCTTTTGTTAATTGCGGTCGAGGGCCGATAGGTGTTGCTCGAGCGGGTTCGAACATAACCTTTTGTTAATCGCGACGAGGGCTGATAGGTGTTGTTTGAAAGGGGTCGGACTTAACCTTTTGTTAATCATAGCCGACGATCGAAGGCGTTGTTCGAGCGAGGTCGAACATAACCTTTTGTTTATCGCGGCCGAGGGCTGATAGGTGTTGTTCGAGCGGGGTCGAACATAACCTTTTGTTAATTGAGGTCGAGGGCCGATAGGTGTTTCTGATAGACATAAGTTTCTTATTACTTTTATGTTGTTGCTCTGATTATACTATTAGAGAGATTGCAAATTTTTTGGGCATTGGCGGACGTTCCAGTCCTAGCCCCAGTCTATATAGTCCCTTCATTGCTTGACTTGGAGAGTATTGAGGAGTCGAGCAATGAAAGAGAAAAACAGTCCCCCCTTGCATACTTTGACTCGAAGTGTTCCTATTGTGGCCTCGTTAAAAGCCTCGTTGAGAAAACCCTAATGGGACAAAACTCAAGGGAAAAAGAGTACGACTTAGGGACACTTCTTCCCTTAGAAGTTGAAGTATTTGAGGTGGCTGATGTTCCAATTGTTCGATAGTTACTTTCTTTCCATTGTCTCTAATTGGAATGAACCCTTGTTTGCTTTGGCTGTAATTTTGTATGGACCATCCCAGTTTGTTCCCAACTTGCCTTCACGTGGATCTTTGCTTGCTTGAGTTTTGGATTTGAGTACGCAGTCTCCGATTTTGAGCGGTCGGACCTTTGCTTTCTTGTTGTAATAATGTTCTGCTTGCTGCTTTTGGGCGACCATCCTTGTGTACGCCATATCTTTTCGTTCATCAATTTCATCAAGTTCCTGCCTTCTACTCTCTCGTTACTCGTACTGCTTTCGTTGGAGTATCTTAGGCTAGGTTCTCCGACTTCGACGTGTATAACTGCTTCGGTCCCATTGACCAAAGAGTAGTGATATCTCATGTGCTTGTCTTCAGAGTAGTTCTATACGCCCACAATACTTATGGTAGTATCTCCGGCCACAGTCCCTTGGCGTCATCGAGCTTTTTCTTTATGATGTTTAATATGGACTTGTTGGAGGACTCTTCTTGTCCGTTACCCGCTGGGTGATACGAGGTCGAAAGTATCTTCATGATATGCCACTTCTCAAAGAACTCAATGGTTTTCTTTCCCGTGAATTGGGGCACGTTGTCGCAGTTGATCTCCTTGTGTAGGGCGAATCGACAAATGATGTTTCTCCATATAAAGGTGATTATCTCTTGTTCGCGCCTGCTTCTACCCATTTAGAGAAATAGTCAGTTAAAACCAAAAGGAATCGTATATTACCTCGCCCTGCTGGGAGGGGGCCCACGATGCCCATTCCCCACTTGATGAATGGCCATGGAGAGGTGACTGAGTGGAGGTTTTCGCCTGCTTGGTGAATCGTTGGGCGTACTTCTAGCATCATTCGCATTTCTTCACAAATTCTGAGGCGTCCTTTTTCATAGCAGGCCAATAGTATCCTGCCCATATGAGGCATATGACGAGTGCTCGATTGCTGGAGTGAGCACCACAATGGCCTTCGTGGACTTCTTTGAGGATGCGCTGGGTTTGGTTTGGACCCAAGCATTTCGCTAGAGGGCTGCCGTAAGTCCTCTTGTACAGGTCGCTATGGAGGAGACTGTATTTGGCTGCTTGCGTTCTTAGTTTCTTGGCTTCTTTTTATCGTTTGGGAGTGTGTTGTCCTGCAAATAGATGATAATATGATTACGCCAATCCCAAGGTAGGCTTAAAGATCTTACCTCTATTTGGTCTAGTGATGAGTTGATGAGGTGGACTACACTTTTAACTCCGATCGTGATGTTTTTGGTAGTTGCGGCCTATTTGGTGAGGTCGTTCTCTTTATCATTCTGCGCATGCCAGATTCGGTCGAGCTGGCATTCGTCGAATTCGGCCAGTAGCTTGCAGATCTCGGTCTGACATTTTCTTAACGTTTGTTCTTTGATTTGGAAGGTCCATGTGACTTGATTAACTACGAGCTGGGAGTCACATTAGAGTTTCAACTGCTTCACCCCATACTTGAGTGCTAGCCTTAATACTGTAATTACGGACTCATTGTTAGTCATATCTAGGTATCTTATGGACTGGAGAATTACTTCGCCTTTAGGGACCTCGAGCACGAGTCCCAGTCCAAATCCGGAGGCGTTGGATGCGCCGTCAGTGTATAGGACCCAGAAGTCTTGTGTTTGGGTAGAAGCTTGGACAACTTCCTTCTCGACTTCCGGCATTATCTTTGCACTGAAGTCCGCGACAAAGTCGGTAAACACTTGCGACTTTATCGCCGTTCGCGATTGATATGTGATATCGTGTTCGCTTAGCTCGATGGCCCACTTGTCCAGCCTTCCCGATAGCTCGGGTTTATACAAAATGCCTTTTAGGGGGAAGGTGGTAATGACCGAGATAGGGTGGCACTGAAAATAGGGTCTAAGCTTTCGTGAAGCTATGACTAGTGCCAACGCCAGTTTCTCGAGGTGCGGGTACCTCATCTCGGTGTCGACGAGTAATTTGCTAATGTAATAAATGGGAGATTGCGTACCTTTTCTTTCTCAGATCAGGACTGCACTTACTGCTACTTTAAAGACAGCCAGGTAGACGAGTAGAGGTTCCTCGGGTTCGGGCTTTGAAAGCAGGGGTGGTGATGACGGATATTCCTTCAGTTTTCGCAGAGCTTGTACGCAATCGGGTGTCCACTCGAGGCCGTTATCCTTTTTGAGTACACTGAAAAATTTGTGACATCTATCAAACGACCGGGAGATGAACCTCGATAAGGTGGCAATTTGACCAGTCAGCCTTTGGACTTGCTTCTTAGTAGTCAGGAGCTCTGATATCCCTTAGATAGCTTTGATTTAGTTCGAGTTAACCTCGATTGTACACTAAGAATCCCAAGAACTTCGCATAGGCTACGCCAAATGCGCATTTCTCCAAGTTTAGTTTCATTTCGTACCGCCTCAGTATGTCGAAAGCTCTCTTCAAATGGCCGATATGGTTCTCTACCTTTACGGACTTGACCAATATGTCATCATTATATACTTCCATGGTCTTGTCATCAATATATCCCCTACGTTTTTCAGTTCAAATGGCATGACCATATAACAATACGTTCTTTGGTGGGTGATGAACGTGGTTTTCTCTTGGTCCTGTTCTTCCATAAGTATCTGGTTATAGCCTGAGTACGCATCCAAGAAACTCAATAACTCGTGCCCGCCCGTTGCATTGATGAGTTGGTCGATGCATGGTAACAGGAACGAATCCTTCGGACATGCTTTTTTCAAGTCTATGAAATCCACGCACATCCACCATTTTCCATTTTTTTATCGTCACTATGTTGGCGGTCCATTTGGGGTACTTCGACTCTCTAGCGGAGCCATTTTCTAGTAGTTTCTCTAACTCCTCGCGGACAACATCATTGATAGCGGGATTGAATTTACGCCTGACCTACCTTATTGGGGGGGGGGGGGGTAGAACGGGTCGACATTTAGTTTGTGTGTGGCGATCTCCTTGGGGATGCCTGACATATCTGCATGGCTAAAGGCAATCAAGTATGCGTTAGTTATTAAGAATTGACTGAATTTACCTGGTTCTCGGAGTTTGCAGCCGATGTAGGCCTTTTTGCTATAGTCATTGGGGTCTTATTGAACGGGGTTGAGGTCTTCTATGGTCGAGTCTGCAGCATCGACCATTTCGGGATCCATGATGACGTCCCTGATCTCTTCTTGTGTCGACCTCGACCCTGTCGATTGCTACATCTCTTTTTCCTTATCTTTTTTCTGATGGGTTGTCGTGTTGTCTAAGGCGATGCGGTAGCACTCCCGAGATGTACGCTGCTCTCCGCGTATGCTGAATATCCCCCAAGTTGTTAGGAATTTGATTACTTGGTATAGTTTGGAGCGGATGGCTCTCATGGGATGTATCCATGGTCGTCCTACTATGGCGTTGTACGTGGTGGCCTAGTCCATGATGAAGAATGTCGTCTCCAGTGTCACACTTCTAGACAAGATGAGGAGAGTAAATTCTCCCGATGTCCGCTCAACTGCATTACTAAAACCGGTTAGCGTGATGCAGCGCAGCACTATCTTGTCCTCGAGTCTCATTTGGGTGAAGACTCGGGGATGGATAATGCACACTCCACTTCCATTGTCTACCATTATACGTTTGACATCAGTATCTAAAATGCACAA